CAAATGAAAAATATAAACATGGTATACCAAAACCTATGGGACACCACAAAAGCAGTATTCATAGGCAAGTCTATAACAACAAATACCTATATTTAAGAAACAGAAAAATTTTAAACAAACAACCCAGTGGTATAACTCAATAAACTAGAAAAGCAAGCATAAATGAAACCCAAAACTAGTAGAAGAAAATATAAAGATCTGAGCAGAAATAAACAAAATTGAAACAAATTTGAGAACCTAGAGGAAATAGATAAATTCTTGAACACATACAACCTACCAAAACTAAACCAAGAAGAAACTTGAACAGATTATAATGAGTAATGCAACTAAATCAGTAATAAAGTCTCCCAACAAAAAAACACCCAAAACCTGATAGCTTCACTGCTGAATTCTATAAAACTTTTAAATAACTACTACCAATTCCCAAACTATTCCAAAAAATTGAAGGGGAGAGAATTCTCAAATTCATTCTATGGGGCCAGCATAGCCCTAATACCAAAACTAGATAAGGACACAACACCATAATCAAATAAAATTCAATCCAGGGATGCAAGGATGGTTCATTATATGCAAATCAATGAACATGATATATCACATCAACAAAATGAGGGTTAAAACAATATGACCATCTCAAAAGATACAGAAAAAGCATGGGATAAAATTCAACATCTGTCATGATTAAAACTCTCAATATATTATGTATAGAAGGAAAAGTACCTCAATGCAATAAAGGCAATATATGACAAACCCATAGCTAATATATTGAATAGGGAAAAGCTAAACACTTTTCCTATAAGAACTAGAAAAAGCCAAGGATGCCCACTGTCTCCACTCTTATTCAAGATAGTACTGGAAGTCCTAACCAGAGAAATTAGGCAGGAGGTAGAATTAAAGGACATCCAGATTGGAAAACAAGTCGTCCTTGTTTGAAGATGACATGATCTTACATAAGAAAAACCTAAGGACACACACACACACAAACACAAAACTCTTTGAACTGATAAATAAACTCAGTAAAGTTTTAGTGCAGGGTACAGAATCAACATAGAAAAATCAGTATTATTGCTATACATGAACAATGAATTAGCTGAAATAGAAAGCAGTCCCATTTGCAATAGCTAGCCAAAAAAAAAAAGAAAGAAAAAGGAAAAGACAAGACCAGAGCAGCCCTAGGAATAAATTTAACCAAGAGGTAAAAGACTTCTGTAATGAAAACTAGAAACCCTGAGAGAAATTGAAGAAGACACAGCAAATGAAATTTTGCTGAATTTTGATGAATTAGAAGAATTAATATAGTTAAAATGACTCTACTACCCAAAGCAATCTATAGAGTCAATGGAATCCCTACCAAAATACCAGTGACATTCTTCACAATGCTATAAACTAAAAACAACCTGGATGCCCATTAATGAGTGAATAGATAAATTGTAATATATCCATATAATGGAATACTATGCAGCAATGAAATAAATAAACTACTTATACATGCAGCAAAAGAGATGAATCTCAACATGTAGAGAAACATAAAGAACATATATGATGTAAATCCAAATCCCATTAAATTCTAGAAATAGAAAAACTAAGCTGTAATGACAGAAAGATTAGTAGCTGCCTGGGACCAAGGGTATGAAGATAGGGCAGAAGGAATAGTACAAAAGGAAATGATCTACGTTGGTAGAAATGTTCTGTATCTTGATTATATACCAAGTAGTAACCACTTGGCTATATAAAACTCAATTAATTGTATAATCAATCCAGGTACATTGTGTATAAATTATTCCTCAATAAATAGGAGGACCTACAGGGGTCTATGGTTGGCAGGATTGTTTTATTTTTCCAAGAGGATAGCCTTTATACAGAAATTGATGAGTAAAACAGTAGGATAAAACAGAAAGCCTAGAAACGATCATGAAAACTGTAGAATAGAAGTAGCCTTAAAAATTGGTAGAGAATGAATGGTGCAATAATTAAGGCTGAGAACTGGCTTTTAGATGTAATCCAAAGAAAATTATAGCTCTATCCCATATCATACACAAAAATTCCAGACCTATTAAGATACAGATGAGAAAAGAAAATTTTTTAAAATTTTAGTAGAAGATAAAGAGAATATTTACAACCTCAGGGAAAGGCAAAATTTCATGGACTAGAGAATATTCAAAATAAAAAGTATTCAGGAATATACTGTTGAATTAATTTGAACAGATCAGAATTAACATTTCTTAGAACACAAGAGTCATTCTAATCACAGTTAAGAGACAATACAGTTGTAGAAACTATTTATTCACATACAGGTAAGTATAATAATCCATAAAAATATTATGAAGACCTCTTAAAAATCAGCTAGTAAAAGAAAAACAACTCAAAGGGCAGTGCCTGTGGCTCAAAGGAGTAAGGCACCGGCCCAATATGCTGGAGGTGGCGGGTTCAAACCCAGCCCCAGCCAAAAACCACAAAAAAAGGAAAAAAAAAAAAAAACAATTCAAAAGATTATTGGTCAAAGGTGTACCAACATTCAACTGGTGTTAAGAAAAAAGTACAAAAAGGCCAACAAAAATGCAAATAAAAATAACAGTGAAATACTATTTCACACTCACAGTGGCAAGTTGCAATTTGGCAGCCTGGAGTACCCATTTATCAGTGTACATCACCTAACACTCAACAATTCCCTTCCTAGTACACACTCTGAAAAAAACTGTTGAATATATGCACAGAAACATATACTTCAATGTAAACTGCAGTGCTAAGGTGACCAGACGTCCTGCTTTTGGCGAGACAATCCTGATTTTTAACAATTTGTCCTGTGTCCTGCAGCGTTTTTAAAAAGTCCCGATTTTTGGAAAGAATGCAAGACAAGCTAGGGAAGGGCGGGAGAATGGGAAGGGAATATACGGTTTTCAGCTGCCATGTGGCTATTTCACCAGGATATGAGTTTTATATTATTTTTGTTAATTTTACAATGTTAAACTTTAATAATAACAAATAATTGTTGAGAACTGATTATTGAGTACTGCTTATCAAAGTTCACATTGTTGATCAGTTGTTAGAATTCGACCACCATTGTTTGGGCTTAATGAACAATGGCATTTTTTGGCATTGGTAACGACAAGAACATTTTGTAACTGTCTCTCAGACATACACATCATACTGCATGCTAGTGCTAGTTAAACAACTGATGTCAACAAATAAGCTATCAGATAATTTAGGTAAGTTATTTATTTATTTATTTCATGAATTTAGCAGACAGTACTCGTTTTACATTTTATAGTGGCAGCAAAAAGTCTAGCACTGGTCTTGAAAGTGACACGACTTATGAGGTATCATTATTAAAAAAACATATTGATAAGGAAAAGGTTAAATCTTGGGCATCAGCAAAAATCACAATAGAGAACAAATGGTTAGAAATATTTCATCATTTTGAAACAAACCATGTTTCATATAATAATGCACTAAAAATTGTGGGATATGCACTGTCTTTACCAGGAACTAATGCTGCAACTGGATGCGTTTTTTCTACAGTAAATAGAGTGTGGACATCAGAAAAATCACAATTAAGTGTTGAGACTTTGAAAGCCATTTTATGTGTGAAATATAATTTAACAAATTCTTGTGAAAAATTTCATGACCTTTTAAACAACAACACTCAAATGAGAAATATGCCAAACAGTAAAATACTATACATGATTTTTAAACGTATTATATTTGTAAATTGTACTTATGTTGAAATTCAAAAAAATATATTACAATACTATTTTTGCATTCTATGAAAATTTTTGTTGCTCCATATAGACCAAATTTTTAATTAAGAACCGCCTCCCCCACCCCCGTCAATGGTGTCTCGCTTTACCAATGTTAAAATCTGGTCACCTTAGTCTTGGCAAGAGGAAAAAAATGCTGAATGTCCATCAGTAAGTCACATATAACCAAAATATTAGTTATAGCCACATGCTGGGCAGCTAAAGAATAGGAGTTTATATTAATATAACTGCTTGAAAATTGTATCAAAAGCATAACGTACATCCAGTTATAAAAAGGGGCTATGAGTAATAGGATTAAAGTCATTTTAAATTACTTTTTCATTTTTCTATAATTATTAAGCTTTATAATAATAATTTTAAATATCCTAGGTTTGGGGGGGATTTTTGTTTTAACAGTAAGTTCCCCCTTCTTCATGAAGCCTCCCCTTTTGACCCCCACAAGGGTCTCTCACCTCCACATCTTGAGCTCAAAGTCTCTTCAGGCACTAAGTACCACTGTAAGATAATTTGCAACTAATAGGCTCAACGTCTGTGGCCTAAGCGGCTAAGGTGCCCCTACATACACCTGAGCAGGTGGGTTTGAATCTAGCCTAGGCCTGCCAAACAATGACGGCTGCAACGAAAAAAAACTAGCCAGGCATTGTGGCAGGCGCCTGTAGTCCCAGCTACTTGGGAGGCAGAGGCAGGAAAATCGTTTGAGCCCAGGAGTTGGAGATTGCTGTGAGCTGTGATGTCAGAGCTCTCTCTACCCAAGGTGACAGCTTGAGGCTGTGTCTCAAAAAAAGAAAAAATTTACAACTAATCGTTTTTAATAATAATAACAACAAACACTAACTTTTATTGAATGTTTTGTGTATGTGCTGATTACTGTGTTCTTAAATTTGTATTTATTCCATCTATCTGTCTAGGTAGACTGAAACCTCCTAAAGCCCTACCTTGAAATCGAAGTATTTAGGAAGAAGGGTCATTATCTACCTCTAAGAATTAAAGGGAAAATTTCTGAAGAGAGGTTATGAGATGATTAGCTACCTATAATAGAAAACCTACCAAATCAGTGGTGGAATTCAGAACATGACATCCCCAAACATTGCACTTCTGGCATGTTTGCAATTTTGAGTAAAAGGCACTTGAAAAATAGCAGATGCAAGAAAGACATTTGATCCCCTTTTTTTTCTTAAAAACAGGATATGAAATTCCCATGTAGAGAGGAGCCCTTCCCTATAGAGAAAAGAAAAATTCTTATCATCAAAAATAACAACCAGACTTTATTAAAATAATTCTTATCTTTCCCTACGTCCCATATATTTTAATTACTTTCCCACAATTGCCTTTCTTTGCTCAACCTAAAACATTCATTCTTTGTGTCTTCATTTCCTTATGAGGGCTCCAGTATTACACAACTCGTGTTAAACAAATCAGTATGTTTTTGAAGGGATTCAGGAAATACCGGCCCCAAATCCGATGCTTTGCTGTGCTGATTACTTTTGAACTGTTCACTTGGAGAGCGGCAAATGCAGGGAGGGAGCTTCTCTGAACTCTTCTTATCCAACTAAGGACAGATCCTCCAAAAGAAATGCAGTTGTCCAGAATCCGCTTCCCAGGAATCTCATCTCCCTCTCCTTTAGATGGTCTACATCTCCCTTCCTCCTCTCCCCTATGAAGTAAATATATAAACTTTTAGATTTCACTGGGTTTAAGAGTAAATACATAAGCTTATAGATTTCACTGGGTTTAGGATATTCAATTTTCTTTCATGCTAGGCCTCTCATACACATAATACATTTGTGCATCTTATCTCCTGCTAATCTGCCTGATATAAGTTTATTTCATAGAGTCAGTTATCAAACCCTTAGAGGAAAGAGGGAAGTCTTCCCTCCCCTATACTTTTCTCCTGTTTATCTCTTTTATGCCAGATTCTCAGGCCCAGTCGGAGACATAAAAATAGAGGGTAAAGTTCTACCTTCCCTACAAAGACAGTATTTATAGAACATGTAATGGGTATAAAATACACACACTTATATAAAAATATATGATAATATAAAATTTATACTAATAAAACATATTTTATATTATTATTGTATATTTTATATTATATATTATATAATATATTATATGAAAATATAAATATATTTTATATTATAATAGTGATTATTATTATATATCATACTGTATAATATATAAAAATGTATTTTATAGTTTCCATCATGGAAGCTATAAAAAGTCAAGATAGTTTTAACACTAGAGCAACTTTTTAAAATTATTTTGTATTTTTAATTATTATTGGTACATAATAGTTATATATCTTTAGATTAACTATCAATGTGATTAACCACATTAACAAATTAGAAACAATATCTGGAAAAAAATTTTTTCTCTAATATATCATTCAGGAAACATGAAAAGTTAAAATTCAGTGAGCTAATTATTCAATTTAAGAAGGCAAAAAAATGAACAAAAAGACGAGGAAAGAAATGATAAAAATTAAAGTAGAAAATAATGATAAGACAACAACAAAGGGAAGAGATTAACAAAAGTAAAAGACATTACTACTCCCCAAATTAGCAAAACAGATCTCCACCAAAAATGATCAACAGAAAAAAAAGCAGGAGGGTGGGAAATGAAATCTTATAAAAATGGGGAGAGAAAAAACTCTGTATTCATTGTAATCCAAAACAATTCAAATGGATTTACTTTTGAGAACAAACACATTCTAAAATTTACACAGAAAAAAAGATGCACAGATGATTAAGTTAACTTCAAACTACAGGATATGAAGGAGATCAGCCCTCCCCAAGGACAACGTTCTACTAACAAAGAGAACATTAGAAAATACTGGAGAGCTCAGGGACAGATTCACTGATTTGGATATGGAGATTGAATATATGAAATCATATGAATATATGATTCCCTGGATATGGAGATTGAATATATGAAAAGGTGGGACAGCATAACAATGGGAAAAGGACAGATCCTTTGTAGAGGATGGCAGAAAAACTAGCTCAATGAATGACAAAAATTAACCCAGATCTCACATTCAAGAGTAGATAGATTAAATGCCTCAAAATGTAAGGTAAATTCTAAAATTTGCAAAAGAAAATAAAAAAGGTCAATCTGTGAATTAAGAATAGAAAAGAACTTCTTGAAGTAAATCCCATAAACACAAGCCATAATGCAAAAATTCACAATTCTGATTACATTAAAATTAAGGTTTTTTTATTCTGTTCAATTAAGGATGTAGATAGAACAACGTTAACATATTTGTGAGAAGGCATTTAAAATATTGAGAACCAAAACGCGATTAACATCTAGATTATGCTAATATATTTTTCCTTTCCTTTTTCTCAAGTCAACTTTCCTCAACAAATATATCCATATATCTTTAACAAGAAAATATAATCCATTCAATAGAAAAACTGACAAAGAATATCACCTGGCAGTAATGAAGACAAGGAAACTAAAATGCTAAGTTATTTAAAGAAGTTTACAACTCATAGAACCAAAAAAATATGGACAAGTAAAACAGAAATGAGCTATTACTTTACACCTATTTGACTTTCTGTGTAAAAAGGCTAGGCACGGTGGCTCAGGCTGTAACCCTAGCACTCTGGGAGGCTGAGGCGGGAGGATTCCTTGAGCTCAGGAGTTCCAGACCCCGCTCAAGAGCTAGACCACGTCTCCAAAAACAGCCAGGAGTTGTGGAGGGCACCTGTAGTCCCAGCTACTGGGGAGGCTGACACAGAGGATTGCTTGAACCCAAGAGTTTGAGGTAGCTGTGAGCTATGACGCCAAGGCACTCTACCGAGGGTGACAAAGCGAGACTTGTCTCAAAAAAAAAAAAAAAAAAAGCTTGATAATGCCTTAAGTTGGCAAGGACACGAAAGGACATAAAAACTGGGACATAATACTGCAACATGGTGCAATAATACCTGGCAGTACTCAGTAACTGCTAGAATTTCTAAGTCCTTCACTGAGAGAGTGAAAAGGTACAATGGAGCAAAGAAATGCACACCACAGAAGAGTACTTTGCAGTCATTAGAATTAAGATAAATTAGAAACAGTAACACGGAAGAGTCTTAATAACATGCTGAATCACAGGCATAAGAAACAGCATGAGATCACCATGGCAGAGCCTGTCAGTTTTTCAAAATCCACAACCTAAACGTCCAACATGTGAACACATTAATGGAATGGACTCAACAAACAGTATTATCTGCTCAGATAGAATAAAATCAATACCTGGCAGGAAAAAAAAAAAAAACTGGCAAGAGGTTAAACTCTAAAGGTCAGTACAAGATACCAATCTATATTGGTTTGCCTGTTCTTAAAAATTCACTTAAATGAAAAAAAAAATCATCTCATGAAAAAAGTTCGTTTAAATGTCATACTGTAACATTTCGGAAATTACTATATATGTTTTGAACTATTTTAAATTGCACACGAACTTTATGGACACCGGGTGTGTGTGTGTGTGTGTGTGTGTGTGTACATATGCACTGCCAGAACGTAACAGATCGTCAGAAGTGTGATTGCTTCCTCGGGGAACTGAAGCGAGTTCTTTCACCGGTTCATCATCTTTTACTTCTTTAAACAGTAGATACAGTCACACGTTAACTTTTAAAAGTCTGAAGTCTGCATAGGCATAGTTCCATTATTTTACTTTGTTTACTTTTCCACTTGAAATCTTTCTCAGCAAAGCTCCGTCACTGCAAGCCACAGATTCCCCGCGGGGGAGGGGTGGGTAGCGGGTTCTCAGGCTGCGCACCAGCCTCGCCCCGCCCTTCCGGGGCTTCCCCCCGCCCCCCGCCTCCACTTTCAGGTCCCGCCCTAAGCTCATCTCCTCTCGAGAGACCTTTGAACTCACCTCGTTTCTCCCCGGCGGTCCCAGACCGGTTGTCTCCATCCCATCACAAGAGTATTCCTCCCAGATCGGTTCCTTTCGCGGAGCTCTCGCTCTCAGAGGAAAATGAGAGAAGCATCGAGGAGATCGATTAGTGGCTCTCCTCGGGTACAGCCTTCAGCCTGGTGCAGTGAGAAGGTGCCCCAGACTCACACCAGGCTTGCAGATGGACGAAAAGTGGCCTATCAGGTAAGAGAACCCTGGGTCTGAGGAAAGGGAGTTGACCAATCAGAGGCGTCAGAAAACAAGCCCTCGTGTGAGTCGCGCGCAGATCAACTGCAGGCTGTAGAGGGCGCTGGAGCCGGTGCCGGCTGAAGGCAGGGCTAGCTCGTGGGCGGCGTTCCGTTGTGCCCCGGGCGGCCCCAAACCTCCAGCGGCTACCAGTGGCCGAGCTGTTGCGAGAGCTCGCTGAGCTAGCTGGCGCAGCTGGTGCTGGCATCTGGCCTCGGGTGGTTTCCACCACTTAATCCCAGTTACATCTGCTTTTCTGCCTTGATCCAATGAATTATCCTCTGTCTCAGAACCCTTACTGCTTTCTGAACGCGTGTCTCTTTCGTGAACCGAATTTCGGTTGTGAGAATCACAAATAAGAGGAGTGATTCGTTCTTACGGATGAACAAAACATGAGTATTGTTTTGGAGACAGAGTCTTATTCTGTTGCCCACGCCTGAGCCTAGTTTACAACAACTTCAAACTTCTGGGCTCAAGGAATACACTTGTCTCTGCCTTCGGAGTAGCTGAGGCTACAGGCGCCCGCGACAACGCCTGGCCTGGCTAGTTTTTCTGTTTTTAGTAGAGGCGGAGTCTCGGATCTCCTTGCTCGGGCTGGTCTTTTAACTCCTGAGCGCAAGGGGTCCTCCGGTCTTGGTCTCCCACAGTTAGGATTACAGGAATAACCCACCGCACCAGGCCAAGAACTTCTTCATAAGAAATAAACTCGTGACTGTGTGATTTCAGAACTTTAATGTGTTTCCTGAAGTATGTCAGTGGCAATAGCAAAGAAAGGGTATCTAAAGTTTCCCCACAGCTTCCCTGATGGTTTACGGATACCAGAGACCTGTATTGGGCCTTCAGTCGGGGATCCTGTGTAGAAGAGGAAGCGGTGGTTGGGGGTGGCCCTGCAGGTCCTGCAGCCTGCCCTAATCCAGCTGGGGTCATCGGTGGTCCCGCCGCCTTCCACCCGCAGGTCCAGCGGCGGCCGGAGGCCTGGTCTAGCCGCCAACTAGAGGTCCATGCGATCTTGAACACTCCCTAGACTTGCGTCAGGCAAGGCAGGTACTGAGGTGGGATCACTTGAGGTGGGTATGGATCTGGATAAGGTCGAAGAAGTGACGCGTGATGATACTCTCAGGGGAGAAGTCCCTTCCTTTTCACTCCAGAGCTACAAGGTGTCAATCCTCTAACTGAACCCTTCCCCATCCCACTGTCACTGCGCTAACGTCTCTTTTTAATTTGTCTGGAGCAGGATGAGGCATCTGTAAATTATTAAAAATAACTGTTAAAAAGAGCTCCGGATGACTGTAATGCACTGCAAGTTTGAGAACCACGGGACTGAGTCCGATACAATAATGAATACTTTTCTTTGCGGTCCCTGAAATTGAGTTTACACTTTTTTCTGAAGTAGTGAAAGCCCAGAGAAGGGACCTACCCATGATCCTACGGTAGATTAAGTGATAATGGCACAAGAATTCTTTACTATTATTATGTAAGCTATAGAAAGGCCGTTTTATTGTATTACATGACTAGCACTTTGTATGTGAACACTTCTCATAACTATCTGCCTCAATAGTGACAGTTTAGGTAATGAAGGCCCAGAGGGATGGTGTCACTGGTTCACTTTCACCTAACTGAAAAGCAAAATCAGAAATTGGACAAAGAGCTCGCTGTACCATAGAATGGTGAAAAGATTTATTTTCAAACTTCACTGAGTATCTTCCATGGACACAGAGTGTCCAGTGCACTGAAGTAGGAGCTCAGGAGTGGCACCAAGATGTAAACAACAGTCCTGTCCTCAGGGAGTTCAAGTCTTGAAGAACAGAGACACAAGGCAAGGGGAAAGAGAAGGATTTCTAAACACTGGGGATCACCCTGTGGACCAGAGCAATAAAGAGACGTGCAATTCTCAGAATATGAGGGAATGAAAGGACCTAAAATGTTGCAGGAAGATGAGGCCCAACAAAGAGAAAGAGCACCCAAACACCATGTTTATAAGAGGAAGGGCTTTATTTACTAGCGGGGAGCTTATGGCATAAAAGAATTCCAAATGGCCTTGCTCCCTGATTGACTTGGTCTTTCCCTTTTTATCAACAGTCAGAAAGTTCCAACCCATAGGTGCCCTTCTCATTGGCCAGTTTTAATCAAGCAAGAGATGCTATTCCAGCCCCTACAGAACTACAGGATTTCGCGGAACTTGAAAATTTCCAAGTTCCAGGAAGTTAAGTTTACAAATTCTCAAGAGCTAAGTCACCAAGGAGAGGACCCCGCAGGTGTATTCTTGTGGTCTCCTTGAGAAGACTTGTTCTAGGCCTCAGCCTTCTCAGGTATCCTCTCTCAGAAGGACTCTTCCTTTCTTTATTACAAAAGCAGGATTACTCTCCTAACCAAGAAGGGTATTCCAATTTGCATCTTTCATCATAGCAATTTTGTATTGAATGTAGTGTTAAAAATACTGTATACTAAAAAATATTTCATGCAGACATTAGAAATCACAGTGATAATTGTAAATTATAATTAGTAATTAAAGTAAAATAGTGATATTTCTTTTTATTTATTTATTTTTGAGACAGTCTCACTATGTTGCCAAAGATTGCCTTTTGAATTTAAAAGTCCAGTAAGGTCATGAGAAGTATAATTAGGTCTCTTCCCAAAGTTAGCTTAATTGCCTCTGGGATTAAGAGGGCTACAGCTGGTACAACTCACAGACGGTGTGGCCATCCCTTGGCCACAGGGTCAATTTCTTTACTAAGATAAGCTATAGGTTGTAAAACTGGACCCCCATGTTGGGTCAAGATTCTTAGGGCAATTCCAGTTTACTCTATAACATACAGATTAAATTGTTGCTAGTAGGAAGATTTAAAGTAGGGGCCTTAAATGTAAAAGAGCATTTTTCAACTGTTGGAGTACCTTATTTGCTTCTGGTTCCCATTCTAGTGACCAGGCACTCTTTTTGAGCATTTTAAATTAAAGAATAGGGTGGTCTCACTATTTCACTATATCTAGGAATCCAGAATCTACAAAAGCCTGTAATTCCTAAGATACCTCAAAGCTGTCTGAGAGTTTAATGTTTAGGGTGAGCCAATATTGGTTCTATTCTTTCTTTGTCCAAGGCCCTCCTCCCCTGTGAAAGTTAGAAACCCAAATTGTGCACTTCGGTCACAAATAATTGGGCTTTAGCCTTGGAAACTTTATATCCACAATTAGCCAGAAAGTTTAATAGAGCTTGAGTAGCTTTGTGGCATTCCTCTTCATCTGGTGCTTTCAAAAGAATGTCATCTACATACTTAACGAGAGTTGTTGTGGGCTATGAAAAACAACTCAAGTCTTGAGCTAAGGCTTGTCCAAACACGTGAGGGCTGTCCCTAAATCCCTGAGTTATGGTGGGACTTTTTAAACTTAATTTGGACCAGTTGAGCATATTTTGCTCTTCCCACCTCCATAGCCCATACTTTTGAGTTATCTATCTCTAATAAAGGAAAGTGTAGGATAGATTCATGTCCCATCTTCATATAAATGGTTCTCATTTTAGTTAGTATGTCCCTCCCCAAAAGGGGAACAGGACTTTCAGGCATGATTAGGAAGGCATGAGAGAACACCCAGTTGCCCCAGTTGCAGTTTAAAGACTGAGAGAACTTGGTAACTGGCTTTACAGATGCCGTCTGTATAGTTATAAATTTGAGGGATAGAAGACCAGCGTTAGAGCGGAGTACAGAAAACATTGCTCCAGTGTCCAGAAGAAATTCTGTCTCCTGGCCTTCTACTATGAGGCAGACACAGGGCTCTTGAGGGGTGATGACGTGGAGCTAGAAGAAACTGTCCTGGGCACCCTCAGTCCAACTTGGGGACTGATGAGATCACTGTCTCAAGAGACCTTCGCCTATGAAGTGGCCATTGTGGCCACATTGGAAGCACTTATTCTTAGTTCCTCTCGCTTCCCTCTGCCCCTGAATGGTGCCTGCTTGTTGGAGTGCCATTACTGTGGCCATTTTAAGAAGATTCTCCAGGTTACGTTCTGGGCATAGAGCCAGTTTCTGGAGTTTTCTTCAAATGTTTGGTGCTGCCTGAATGATAAATTTATCTTTTAAAATAACTTGGGTCTCCAAGAGGTTGGGTGTCAACAGTGTGTTCTCTCTCTCTCTCTCTCTTTTTTAAGAGACAGAGTCTTACTTTATTGCCCTCAGTAGAGCACTGTAGCATCACAGCTCACAGCAATCTCAAACTCTGGGCCTTAAGTGATTCTCTTGCCTCAGCCTCCCAAGTAGCTGGGACTATAGGTGTCCGGCACAATGCCTGGCTATTTTTTTGTTTTAGTTGTCACTGTTGTTCAGCAAGCCCCAGGCCAGGGTGGGACCCACCAGCATTGGTGTATGTGGCCAGTGCCCTACTCACTGAGCTAAAGGCACCAAGCCTAAAATACTGATTTTTCAAGTATTTTTATTGAGCACTCAATAATCATCATTAATAAATTTAATTAAGCTAATATTATGAATTTTAAAATTAAAAATAAATACGGACAATTAAAAAATTTTTAAATGAAAGCATACTACTGATGCAGAATTGAGTAGAAATGTAAAGCTATTGATACAACCAGAATAAAGAAAAAAGGAGAGTAAGAAGAAAGGATGTCACAAATGAAATGATGAATGGCAATTGAAAATATGGTGTAGCAGAACAAAACAACAAAATTGCTTGTGGTAGATAAACCGTTTTCAAGATGATAAAATGAGTGCCAGTGGCAGTGACTCATGCCTATAATCCTAGCACTCTGGAGGCTAAGACAGGAGGATTGCTTGAGCTCACAAGTTTGAGACCAGAGGGAACAAGAGTGAGACCTCCATCTCTAAAAC